ATCTTGAATTGTTTAATTTACGAGAAGGCGTTACGAGAATAAGCCCACCGGGGAGAGTTAATTTATTATTGATACCTACTTATTTCTTATTTAATATTAATCTTTAATTTGTATTTTACCAAGAACACTTTTCGAGTAAAATAAAATAAAGATTCTTTATCATTCAATATTTGTGTTGGGAGAATACTTTTCAACTTTTTACACTATAATTATTAAAGTATCAAACTAAGAGGGCCTGCATTTGTATTTAAAATTAGAATGATTTGTAATTGGTTCGTACCAAGAAGTATGTCAGGTATGCCCTTTCCTTTGTGGCGCTAGGCTAGTTAAACATATACAGGTACAATTGTAATAAGTATGTAGCATAACTGCATAGTATAGATACTTAGGGTTAACTAACTTAAAGGTTGTGTTTGATGAATTGTAATTATTTGTAAAAACGGCAAAATGCGACTGTCTCACACATAACAGGTTTAGAGGTCTCAGCATAAGTGATGGGTTAATTTCTCTGACGTGAAAACGTGAACGTGGTCTTAAAAAGTATGTAATGGCTCGATTACACTAGACGTAAGCCCGAATACGAGTGCTAATGGAATTCGGGTAAACGACTAAGTGTAAATGAACAGAGTCGAGTACGCCCATATTCGGGTAGGTTTTCTTTTGTTTACTCAACACCTTCTTCCAGCCGACGACATTTTTTTCTCGTGCTGACCCGTTCGCGACGTGTTGTGTCTCGGCGCGTATATTATGATGCAATTAATTCTTTTTCAATGATATCAAGAAATCATCCCGTATAATACGATTCTACTAATAATAGGACCGACTGGGTGCCATATTGTGACGTCATAGCTGTCAATGCAAACCAATTAGGTACAGTGAGCAAAAAAAAGTGTTTATTTAATTAAACTTATTTACTAAGATTAAGTGAGAAAAATTATAAGATTTTTTTAATTTACTTTTATTTATTTAAAATTTATTTATTACGATTGAGAAAAAAACAACCGATTTTTAATAATATTTATTTATTAAGACTGTGTGAGAACAAACATTAATCAGAATCTAGCTCTTCAATTCCGTTCATCTCTGTATTACCGCCAGAGTAGTTATGAATAATCATGTATTATTACTAGGTTACATATGAACATGCATTCTTTATGTAAACGAAAAATTTAAATCAAGTTTAGGAACGCAACTTAAAGTAACATTTGGCTGACGATTTAGGTTATCAACCAGTCACAGCCAAAGCTCAATAAATGAAAAAAATATCAACCAATATGTCATCAATATTTGTTATTGTTTCTTTACAAATGTTTGGTTTTTATTCTAGAAAGAGCAGAGTACTTCAAAACGAATTTTTTTGCAAACCGTACTTTTCAAGCGACACTTGACAGATGGAGGTCTTTGGCTTTCCTATTCTTATTTGAATCGCACTGTACACGTCGCGTATGTCGAGAGCTTTAACCAAGATGGATTCGTTCACAAGATTCATTTGAAAACACTGATTGTCACCTACGATCCGGCGTATCCCAACTTTTTTAAATAATGTTGAAATTACAGCGTAAGTATTTTTGATGAATAATTTAAATCAATTTACACTGCTTAAACGAAAATGTGAGCCTGTGAAACGTGCCATTAATAAATTAAACTAAGAAAAACTTGCCGGCGGCTCTTTCGGGCAATAACGCGAGTAATTTATTAAAGTATCATTAAAATTTCAACGTTAACATCATTAGTAAAATTAAATAAATTTATTGTAAAGATGAAATAAATTAAAAAAAAAACAAGAGGGCCGCAGGCAAATTTTACAATTTTTTTAATAAAAACCGCATATTTAGTGCCATTATCAAATAAACATTATTTCTGGAAATCGTTGGAAAAACTATTTCATTAGATGAATAAATACTATGTAATATTTAACTGCGACGCTCTTGTTTTGTACAATTTAATAAAATAATAGCTATTGCTGGTTGGTTTATAAAAGAAATATAAAATTTATAAGATTAAGTTTTACTTGGTTCAGTTTTCACTGGACCCTCATAATTGGAACTTGTCTACAGAATAGGACCTTTAAGTAGGGGAGCCCACGATGCTAAATAGGGATTTACTCGAGCGTCGTGGAGACCTATTGAAATTTGTAGATCAGATGGTAGAAAGAAAAAAAAGGTTAAATGATGCATACCCTTTCACCGGTGGAACAAACGCCTAGAAGCTTTCAAAAATGTAAAAAAAAAAATAGTCACTCGGAAATACTCGAGCCCGTCAGATATAGATATTGTATATGCCCCTTGTATCCTGATGACGGAAGAATGTTAATCTGCCGGTTTGCATGGTGGGACTAGCCGTATTGATGGATTGAAAATGGGGGAAAAAATTTACTCTAGCGCATCAGATAATCGAAGAGGGAATGTTAAGTGAGCCTAAACGAAGCTCAGATCCATAAGTCTGACGATTTGGACGCGACGCAAGCTCGTGACGGCTTTTTGAAAACGCATAAAAAATCGCCATCTGGAAATACTCGAGCGCATCAGATTTTCACACAGGCGGTTCAGCTTGATGCCTTGGTCAAGCTGAGCCATAATCTGACGAATATTCGGAGGGATTTTCATAATCTGACGGTTTAAAGAAATTTTTCTCCGTGATTTTTTTCAAATCATTGAATGTGATAAATAAAATTCATAAAGAACAACATGCAATTAAAAATAAGCTGAAAATCTAAACAGGGTTAAATTAGGCCAAGATACACTCATTGTATAAAAATCAGCTCATTTGCTTCAGCGGTTCGTGCGAAAATTTGGCGAAAAATTTTATTCACGTATTCACAGACATGTTCGATATTTAAAAAGAAATTAAATATAATAAAATACATATAAAAAAGTGTTACATTTCAGTCTCTGGTAAGCTTGACAATTGTACCGATGTAAATTTTACAATCTTTTGACGTGTATTTTGTCCACAAAACACACACTTTATAATATTGTCACTCATCTTGAGTGTGTGTTTTGCGTGATAGTAAATATCAAACTCACAAAATTTAAAATAAAACAAACAAACCAGAGCGTTGTACATATAATACCACGAGATTCACGAGCGCTATGATCAGCTGTGAAAGCGTAATGGTAGACAGAAAGTGATGTAGGGACGGTGCGAGAGAGTGGAAGATAGAGAAAGAGCGAAATAGAGAGAGGCGCGTAGTATGAAATACATGCTTCGCTGCAGCTGCAACACTTTATTAACGATTTTTGTTACTTCGGCTTGTCCAAATCGGCAGATTATATGTTTTCCATGATCCTTGAATTATTTCCGCTCGCACTCGCGAATGTCCAGACATTGTTTTTTTTTTTGCAATTTACAACCCTGCCACACCCTTAGGTCACGCTCAAATCGTCAGATTATTGTAATACACACTTTTCAGCGTGTAATTAAACCACCACACCTTAATCTGACGCGCATATTTAGTATACGAGTATTTCCGCCTATCGTTTTTTTTACTATTCTGATCGGCTGGTCTACGCGCGCGGCACTACATGATGTAAGGTATCTTCCCATATATTAATCTGCTGCGCTCGAGTAAATCACCAAATCCCCTCTTGAGCTCCCCTATTATTTTTATTGAATTTAGTTGTAGTAGTAGGAAAGTAAAGAAATATATAACGTAAAAACAAGCAACTATATCTTAAAGATAATTGATTGCTTTTCAGGCAACTTTAGTAAATTTTAATTTCATTATTTAAATAATATACAGACAGCAAACAGTTATTAAAAAGCCTAATGCAATGAAAATACTATTTCAAAGTTGAATGACACGATGTTATAACTCATAAACAATTTGACGTAGGCGTTGGTTGCCAAATTAAACTAGTTTAAGTTACCAATGGAATAGTTATCTAATAATTTTGATAAAAGAGTGATAATTGTATTCATTTTATTTGTTACAATTTGAACGTTCACACGTTTAGATATAAGTAATTTGAACATTTTTTTAATGGAAATTTGAAAAAAATGTAATAGTGATAATTAGATAAATGAAATATTTAAAAATACTTTTATTTGTACCCATTACATAGTTTAACAAAAAAAAAACAATAATTTAGAAAATAGAAATATTGCATTTTTTCATCCAAATTAGCCTAACCCTAATGCAAACACTCTAAAGTTTGTATTATGGGATACAAGGGTGACGAATAGGTTCCATTATACTGATGCAAAATACAGGGCGTCCCACGGCTACCTCACACGGAGGGAAAGTATATCAAATATTAAAGATAGGATATTTTACTGAAAGAAGACATCATTTCATTTTTGATAATAACTAGAACTGCATTCACAGATTTTTTTAAATCGACTGCTACAACTGGGAATCAAACTCGTGAAATTTCAAAAAAAAATACGAGGTATTTTGTGATAACCATCGAAAGGGTTTATCATAAAGATTATTTTTTACTAATTAACATAGCATTTTAAATGAAAGGAATGTCTTATTACGTGATAAAAAGAATAAAGTGATATATATACAAACTGTAGTACGTATGCATTTCATTTTGAACTCAGTTACAATGCGATTGGCTGTTTGTAAAAATAATAATTCGAATAGAACACATACATTTTCAAGCGTCTGTACCCCTAGCACGAACCATTATCGAATTCGAATAGTTTGCAGGCGATTTTTAAAAAATCTGTGAATGCAGTTCTAGTTATGATTGAAAATAAAATGATGTCTTCTTTCGGTAAAATATCCTATCTTCAATATTTAATATACTTTTCCTCCGTGTGAGGTACCCGCGGGACGCCCTGTATATAGAAATAAATATAAATATCCATGACTTAGATACTAATGCTCCTACTCATCAGACTTAAACTTGTCCAACTGGAATTCAAACCTCTTCAAAACCTCTGAGTAAGCGACACCTTGAAACCCGATGGACAAACCATGCGGCCATTCAGGTTGTCAATTGAAAAAAGAAGATTTTACGTTTCAATTTAAGTACTACATGGTAACTCACCTTTTTCCTTATTCAGGCACACGATATTATTAAGCGAGACCGGTTTTCCCTGAATATTATCGGTAGCATTATCGCTACTCTTTTCATTTTGGGGCAAATTCAATTTAACGTTTTTCCAACGATTTCCTAAGCTCTTGCTCATTTTATTCACATGCGGATGCAGACTTAATGAAAAAAATATGTGTTTGTGAAGTATTTCACTATTCACTTTAGTGGAGTGGTTTGAAGGAATTGTTGTCGGTATCACGGGTAGTTTGCAAATGTTTTTTTTCCTTTGAAGTGTTAAATGACTTTCAGTCTAACATATAGAAGAGTGAGGTGATCTTGATATTTTAGTTCAGATTATTTTTTTATTCGTATTTTTGTGGATGATGTCAATTGTTTAGATTATAGTATAGATAGTCAGTGGTTATTACCGTAAATTGAAATTGAGTTATATAAGAAAATAGGTACATTAGATTATACTCCCATCAATTTAGATCAAGCAGCTAAAAAGAAACAATAGGTGTAGGTATCCGAATTTTTCGGATTAATTTATCAACACACGGTATAAGGTAAAATATATTTAAATGTCAGTCTGTATTTATACTTAAATAGGTAAACTTACTTATTTTAATTTAAATTTGTTCCTTCTCAAATCATAATTCACCAACATAGCCCACCGGATTAGCAAGTTGAAGTGGCAGTGGGCTGGCCTATTTGCCGTAGAACCGATAACCGTTGGGGTAGACGAGTTCTGGAGTGGAGACCGCGTCTAGGCAAACGTAGTGTAGGACGTCCTCAGGCACGATGGAGTGACGATTTGCGCAAGGTGGCTGGCAGGAGCCGGATGCGAGTAGCCCAAGATCGATCTGAGTGACGTGCAATTGGAGAGGCTTATGTCCAGCAGTGGACTAGGATAGGCTGTTGATGAAATCATAATTATTGAACCTTAAGTAATAAAATGAAAACCGACTTCATAAAAAAGTCAGAAATAATACAACACAACTCATATCCAAAGTCAAATTAACATTTGGTGTCAGTGCCATGTCAACGGCAACTCAGATTTATTTTCGTGCATGGCACCGACTCCGGTACTGGCATCAAAAATAAAAAATAAAAGAAAGCGAATCAAGTAGTATAAATTTCAATTTCTCAAAAATCACATAAACGCTTTACAAAAATTTTAAAACGTCAAGAATATTGAGTCCGCACAAAATTCGATTCTGTCTCGTACAAGAGCTTTCGCGTTATAAAAGATGTATAGGGGGTCACGATCGCACCCATTACTACTCCAAATTGTATAGCCGATTTGAATCGCTTAGAAAACTATTATGTTCCACGAGAATAGCACTATTCAGGTGAAACCTTCAAAGTAGTTCTTTGTGTTGCTCGAATGCCCCGTGATTCACTAGTGCAATACCTTAATTTATCTTTGCTGTTTTAAATGCATTATTTTTCACCGGCGCATTTTTTAACATTATATTTTTAAAGCAATTAAATGTAGCTAGATATTTAAATCTAAAGGATTTTTTTAGTAGATAAGAAAAAAACCACGCGGTTCAGGTCGCATACGGGATGGATTATATTTTTTAATAATTTATCTGTGTTAGGGTGATGAATGAATTTAACATTTGCTATAATGTGACGTTATCACGGTATTTTGATTCCTTAATCAAAGGCACTGTGTGCTACTGTTTATGACCGACTTGAAAAAATGTGGTTTGTCGTTTTATAATGTTTTCTTAATGGAAATGCACGATATTCGTATAATATCAGCCTATCAGAATATGCGCTCAGATAAACCTGTGTTAATTGCATAAACTATTAGGAACATCAAATTCAATCCAATCAATGCAATCACTCTACCTTTTGGCAATCCGTAATATTGTGAAGTTTTGGTATTACAATGATTGCGAGTCACTAATTATTCAAAATATTTGGTCAACATCAACTTCACAGAAGCGCTTTGAAATTCACAACAAACCACTTCCTGGTATCTGGCGGGGCTCACTGAATTATTATCAAGGATGAATGAGAATTCAAACCAACGCTAAAGTTGGTTGGTTTTAGCGAATCCTGAATGAAATCTTCAGTACTTACGACATTGTACGAGATCAATAACGGATTCGTTTCAGATTGTCCCAGATTGTCCAAGATCGCTGAACGCGCACAATAGTGAAATATGGACGACCGATCGTTCCTTATTCAGCTTTGTTATCAAATTTATGTCAAGATAAGTATTGTCGTTGGTAAATTATTACAGTTACCTCACATATTGTTACAAAAATCTGTATTTTTCTAAATTATGGGATTTTGATGTGAAACTTCTTGTAAAGTTATAATGAAGCGTCTGTTGAATTATGACGCTCAATAAAAAATACCTACAAGCTTTTACAGCGACCTTACACTATAGTCATTTATGTATATTGAGGCAATCACTTTAATTATGTAAATTAATATAATGTTAGTGACCATGGAAGTTTAAAACAAATTAGCTTATAATATGCACCGTAATTAAATAAGTAGTTGAAAGTGCTTCGTTGGTTTAAAGATCAATCGCAGATGCTACGGCATGTGAAATTCCTTATAAGTTTTACGTATTTTTATTAGTATTTTGTATTTCTTTTGTTTTTGTGTTCTATTCAATAATTATGGAAATTTCGGGTCTGTTTCTGCAAGGCGTCCCACCATGACCTAACCATTAAATGTCATTACTATTTTCCCCATTATGTGTTACAATTAATAGAGAAAAATGATAAAAAAGAAACAGTACAAAAATCAAAAGTTTGCTGTAATGTAACTTTAAAAGCAGTAACTGCTACCATAATTCAAATACCTTAGTTAAAATTCTAAAGCTTCTTCAATCTTACTTCGTCTGCTGTAATGTAACTTAAAAAGCCGTAAGTAACTGCTACCTTTATGCATATACCTTCGTTAAAATTCTAAAGCTTCTTCAATCTTTCTTCGTCTGGAATACAAATAAATATTTGATTCGTATTTTTCCGGTTAACCTTCTCGTTTAATTGTGAAGTATGATTTCAATGGAAAAATTTACAACAAACAGATTTTAATACGTGCCTCCACAGAATCCCGTTTGCACGGAATGCCAAGACGCGCAGTATAATTTCATAAAACACAGCGAGTACTTGACGGCGAATTTAAGTCACCATATCCTGAGATTTTGGTGGAACCAGTACTCTGATGTACGAATAATTAACATTTGCTTAGGATGCGCTTCACTTCAGTTTAATTTGTAATGAGGTTTTTAAAAGGATTTTGTTGGCGGAATTGTTAGTCTGAAATCTGAAATTATGGCAATGAAGCAACTTTTGTAAATTGTCATCATCAAATGGCGGTGACTAATAATTTGCTATCTCGAGCTATTCAATTCTTTAGGTCTCTTAGGAACTCGCGGTTAGTCAGGACCCACAAGTCTGCAGAAGGCCTTTTTTTTTAATACGCAGGTAAAAAATGCTGTTTACAGACAACGGCGCCTTTAAGAGGCACACCGCCGAACGGACTTCACACCTGGCTCCCGCAAGTCTTACGGACCCCCTATTGGCTACCCACCGAGGGCCCCGCAACTTTTACGGGCTCTTTACGGCATAATATCCGCTAATAAGTCCTGCGAATACCTTCAACACTGCTTGATGCAGAGCCCCGGGATCCCCAGGTGAGAGATTTCTCCGCATCCCCGTATCCAGCAGCTTCCCGGCCTCGCCAGGGCTCCACAGCAGGGGTCTCCTGAGGTATTGCGGGGACCCCGAAGTCTGCAGAAAGGCCTTCTGTGTGTTCTTCTTCCAATATGACATTGTTCAGAGTTAAGTCCCCAGCAGTGGAGGTCTTAACAGGCGATGATGATAAGAGGATGCTTGAGGTGCGCAAACAAAAGTCAGTTGTATATTATATTTTTAAGAGAAGTAGGGTATAGCGGATTATCCGTTCGAATTGAAGCTACCTGTTGGTGGTTTTGTATTTCTGCCGCTGAGTAAGATTCCTGGAACCTTACTCCAGGGCTCCACGGGGTACCCGTGACGGCAGCCCCCCCTTGTAGTTCTGTCCTGCAAAGAGAGGGTGGCGGAGGGAGCTACACGAGCACGCCCAAGTAGCCCTCTGCAGCGGACGGGGGGTCGGTACGGTGGGCACTAGGCCACGTACTCAGCCCGCATGCGCGGGCCATCCTGCGCACGTCTGCGGGGTCCCCGCGATACCCCGGGAGACCCCTGCCGTGGAGGCTAGGCCGAGAGGCTGGTAGGTGTAAAGACGCTGAAGAATCCCTAAACGGGGATCCCGCGGCTTCGCGCTAAGCAGCTTAGAGGGTATTCGCAGGGTTTTTTAGCATATATTACGCCATAAAGCGCCCGTAAGAGTTACGGGGTCCTCAATGGGTAGCCACTGCTGGGGCTTGTAAGGTTTGCGGGAGCCAGGCGTGAGGTCCGTTCGGTGGTGTGCCTTTTAAAGGCACCTTCGTTTGTAAACAGTAAATGCTAACCTTGCTTGCAATTCTCTTTAACGCATGTTTTGATCTGTGCTACTTCCCAGCCGCCTGGAAAGAAGCAATAGTGATAGGCATCCCCAAACCCGGAAAACCCGCGCACCTCCCCAGTAGCCATCGCCCTATTAGCCTCCTCAAGGCAATGGCGAAACTTTTCGAAAAAACCATACTGACCAGACTAAGAGAGCACCTCCTATCACCATCCGATCCAATTATCATTGACCACCAATTCGGCTTCAGAGCCAAACACTCCTGCCCCCAACAGATCCATCGCATAGTGGAGCACGCCCTAAGCGGCTTCCAACTTAACAAATATAAAACTATTGCAGTCTTCTTCGACGTCGCCAAAGCCTTCGACAAGGTTTGGCACGACGGATTAATTTTTAAATTATATCAATTAAAATTACCTGACCGCCTAGTTAGGTTAGTAGCCTCTTTTCTATCAAACCGCACCTTCCGCTATAGATACGAAGGTTCACTATCAACGCCCCGCCCACTACGAGCCGGTGTACCGCAGGGGTCCGCTCTCTCCCCCCTGCTATACACAGCGTACACCAATGACATCCCTCAGACCAAGGGTGTCGAGCTCGCTCTCTTCGCGGACGACACGGCCCTCTACTCTAGGGGAGCCAGTACCAATCAAATCATAGCCAAGCTCCAACCGGCAATCACAACACTTGGGAATTGGTTCCGCGATTGGAGAATCGACGTAAATCCGGACAAAAGTTCGGCCATTTGCTTCGATCCCAAGCGCCGCACCAAAACCATACAACACGGTGCGCGGTCTCTGCGAATGCAAGGCATAGCAATACCGTGGCACCGCACAGTCAAATACCTAGGGATCACACTAGACAAAAAACTCACCTTCCGTGCACACATCACACGCGTAGTCGCGAACGCGCGCTTTTATATGAGCCGCCTCCACCCGATGCTCGGTAAATACAGCAAAATGTCACTTCGTAACAAGCGAACGCTTTACAAAGTTTGCATACGCCCGGTCCTCACTTACGCGTCACCAGTGTTCGCACACGCGGACGAAGCGATTTTGAACAAACTTCAAGTGCTTCAAAATCGCTTCTGCCGCATAGCCACAGGGGCCCCGTGGTACGTCCGCAACGCGGACCTCCACAGGGACCTACAACTCGACACAATTCAAACACACCTCACAGAGTGCTCGGAACGGTTCTTCAAAGCTGCAGAAGAGCACTCTAACACACTCATTAGATCGGCGTCGGGATACGCTCCACACACTCCATCTCGATTCAGGCCCCGCAGGCCCAAACACGCACTCACAGCCACACACAATAAACTCACGCGCGATCTCGCGGCCCTCTTGGCCGCTGAGGATCCAACACCCGCGATGAGTCCCCCCGCCCCCCCGACACAGAGAGGTTCGATTCCTCTCAGTCCCCTCCCGTTTCAAGTGCACATCTGAGTGCACTTGTCCTCTAAGCGCATTTTGCGTTATTTTAAACTATGCACTAGTTTAAACTAACGCAGCGCCGCATCATCCCCCTCTCGGGGGGTGATCGCTTCAGATGAAGCTTGTAAGGCCCTTCTGGCCATAAGCATGAATAAAGGGTGTTTTTTAGTCAGTAGGAGTCTGACATAACCTTACAGCCGGCTGTAGGGTATCCATGAGGATTTCTCACCCTCTCCCCCGCCTGGGAGGAAACAAAAAAAAAAAAAAAAAATGTAAACAGTATTTTTTGTCTGCGTTTAAAAAAAAGGGCTCCACGGGGTAGAGGATTGGGTCAGCGGAATGAGTGATATTTTTGATATGCATGCGTCTACAGGCTTTGGTGGCCGCTTACCATCAAGCGGGCCATACGCTTGTACATAAAAAAAAGTTTGCTATTCAGAAACCAGTTCAAAGTGAAAGATTTGATTAGAATTCGGAAGACAAAGTCACTGTCACAATGACTAGTCATATAACAAGTGATCAACGATTTAATATCTCAAGTTCCTCCTTGCTTCTGAAGGCATGGTAAGCCCTTTTGATCCCGGCTGTATTTGCAAGGGTTAACACCCGCCAATCTGCACTGGGCCTGTGTTTATGGGCCATTCTTTCTATGGTTAGGGAAGGTCTGTGTTCTAGCAGTAGGGACATTGGTAGATTGATGTTGATGGTGATAAAGGTGTCGTTATTCTTTAAACCACCAATAATTCTGACTGCCACTTTAAATGTATTGAATATACTTCAGGGCTTTCGTTTTATAATCTAAATGAAACTTTTAATTGGAATCAAATGAGACTTAAAGAACATTTTCACTTATTAATTTCTCTTCCGACATCCATGCGAACATATTTTGCAAATTCCGAGAGAAATATGCGGGTTCTTTGTTTCGAAATAAATGGGCCGTGAAAACGTCGAGATTCCGCAAAAGAGTTACTAGGCCTAAAACTGTTTCGTCTGTGATTCGGGGAAGATTAGAGTGATAGCTTTAATTCATACCATGCCTATATAAAGATACCCACTTACACCAAAATCTTATATAAACTTCAATTAAAGTAGTGCTCAAGCATTATTCTATTTGACTTTGTATATTCAATCCCAAAAATGGAATGATAAAATAATCAGAGTTTAAAAAAGTTCAATTCAAATTTGTTACACAACTAAAGCTGTACTGTGTTATCACCCGCGTGAATTTGAGACAAAAGGTTATGAGGTCAACCTGAAAAGGTAGACTATACTATCGTGCACTTATTAGGGTTCCATACTTGAAAAGGAAGAAACGAAACCCTTACAGGATCACTTTGTTGTCCGTTCGTCCGTCTATTAAGATCCTTTTTCTCGGGAACGTCTTGAGGTAGCAAGTTGTTTATATCAAATACTCAGGTCTACTGTCCCTTGGAGATGTGGAAAAATCAAACTTCTCAACCAACACAATCAAAAGATATAGCCGTTTATACCACAGGGTACTTTCCCGTGAACTTAGAATTTTGAAATTTAGTACGAAGCAACGTCTTAAAGAACAGATAAAGGAAAAAATCCAAAACCGTTATTTTTTAGTAACATCGCATATATTATGCTAGCCATACACACTACGAGAAATCGTTACGATCAGACTGTACAGTTCGAACGGAACAGTTTATCGGACGTGGCGTACGTATAGACAACTGTGCAGTTTTATAACATACACGCTACGATTTATCGGTACCTTTCGAACTGTACAGTCTGATCGTAACGATTTCTCGTAGTGTGTATGGCTGGTATTATGGAACCCTCGGTGTGCGAATCCGACTCGCATTGGCCGGTTTTTTTTTTATAGAAGCGGAACAAGATTTTTGTGTAACTTTTACCATTTGCGCAGTGCACGTAACGGAAGCTATCATATGAAATATTTTTCCCGTTTTTGCAATATCTTTCAATGGTGCTCCTCTCCTATAAGTCGTAGCGTTATATTATATAATATTTTAATTGGTTAGCACATTCAGCATTAAATTTAGAAGATAAGATTTATTGCATGTTTTTATGTAGCAACTGTTGGCTGACCTTTTTTTTGTCTGGGAAATGCCGGGGAAGCGAGAAGCAAGAACATACCTTATGTGGGACTCCTCCCTGCTCACTTCAGCCAGCCCTTAGGCCGGGTGAAATGAGCAGGGCCCTACCTAACGCCCTGAACAGGGCCACTAAAAACCAGACAATACTCCTGCACCGGTCACCCGGCGTACATTCTGAGGACCGCAGTCCCCCCAATGCACGCCGGGAGTGCGGGTGTGGTCGCGGCAACCGTTGCCGACTGTCCGCGCAACTGTTGGCTGACCTAAATAAATAAATATAACCTTTAGCCGTCCTCGATGCATGCACTGTCAAACACAAAAATATGTTTCCAAACTAGACCAGCAATTCCTGAAATTAGCGCGTTAATCCAAACAAACAAAGAAAATCTTCAGATTTATAGTAAAAATAATATTGAAATTAACTCCCTTAAAATATTAAATAAAACTAAACTCAATTCAGAAGACAACAAAAAATTTATTTAAAAAGTAGAATCCACCTTAGACGCTTTTCTTTTCATTTTCAGTTCTCGTCTCGTAAGAAGTGGTCGGTTCGTACGTATCGTATGTAATATCCAAACTGTATACTTTAGACTCCGATTTCCTGAGTATGTAACGACTTAGTAACCTTGGAGCTTGTGATCCGACAAACTGAAACATATAAAATTTATGAAGCAAAGCATTTTAAAATTGTTAGCACATTGAACTATTATATTAAGCATTTAACTGCTAGATTTAGAAATCTAAAGAAAATAAATAAAACTATTTTTAACGGGTTAATGCACGAAATTTATTTATTTATTGACGCTTTCTATGTCCTTCTTATGTTATATCATGCATGATTTAACATAAGAAGGAGATAGAAAGCATCTCTGAGTTTGTTTCACCTGTTCTTCTCAGAAAGGTCTCCCGATTTTGGAACTGGTGGTACTTTACGTTAGTTAGGGTCAAATAAATAAACTCAAAATCACAAAAAATAATCTTAAATAAAGTACTTTATTAACTAAATTAACTAATAAATTCATAAATACATAATGAACTTTTAAAAATCTTCCAATGAAATATCCGAACGCTCAATAAAACTCTTTCGAAGGTAGTTCGACAAAGTAAATAAAAAATCATTATTCTGATGATGCAGACCTGAAAAGGCTGCGAAACGTCAATAAATAAATAAAGTGCGTGCATTAACCCGTTAAAACTTTTTATTTAATGAGTGATGTGCGTGACAACCTAAGAAACAAATAATCTAAAGAAAATTTTACTGTGATTTTATTTATTTTTTAAGCATTTAACTGTTAGATTTTTAAATCTAAAGCAATCATAACTATAATTGCTATTTCTTCTTTCAAATGTTTAATACTTGAAAAAGGATTCATTTGACATTGTGGGTTACCTACAATGAGAAGAGATGGCGCTGCCTTGCAGCTTAATGGCTAGGAAAATTTCGACGCGGCTAATAGGGCCGTGGTAGCATAATGGTCAGTGCATTCGCCCGGATAGCGAAGGATGCGAGTTCGAGTCCCGTCCGCTGTCTGGTCCGCGTGGATTTTTTTCTAGTAAACTTTTCTTTAGAATTAAAAATTTTACTACTAAAAAACTGCTCGGTTCAGGCATCAGACGAGTTTTTTAATGTGATGAGGGTGAGGAACAAACATATGGCCTGCCTGATGGTAAGCGGCCACCATAGCTTAAAAACGCTTGCGTCACTAAAACTATCACTCGAACCTTTGCCTACTCTGACCCAATGCCCTACCCCGTGGAGTCCTGGAACCTTACTCACCCACAAAACCACAACACCACCAAAAGATAGCTTTTTTTTGTGTGTGTTTGCTGTTGGTCGCAGATGACCTTTGATGATGGTAATGGTTCGTGCTAGGGGTATTGCTCTCTTTGTGTTGGGTCATTGTGTTCGGTGTTTGGGAAGTTGTTTAGTGTTTATGCTCTTGGTTGCAGATGACCTTTACAGCGTCACCGGGTTTGGGGACGGCGACATCCTAAGGGGACCTCAAGCCGAGAACTGGTGAGTGCCTCTAGAGGTATTCAAGGCGGATGGCGTCTCCCCACGGGGGGAGTATTCTCTCCGTCTGGAACCTCCAGACCACTCGAACCCCAGGGGGTCGGCTCAACTAAAGGGCGTCTCTGAGACTCGGACTTCGGCTCTAGTTAGCCGTTGTCGGGGGGGCGGGGAAAAATGCCCAGGTACGTACCTGTACCTTTTTTTTTTAATACGCAGGTAAAATATGCTGTTTACAGACGACGGTGCCTTTAAGAGGCAAACCGCCGAACGGACCTCACACCTGGCTCCCGCAAGTCTTACGAACCCCCCAGTGGCTGCCCACCAAGGACCTCGCAACTCTTACGGGCGCTTTACGGTATAATATCCGCTAAAAATGTCCTGCGAATACCCTCTAAGCTGCTTAGCACGGAGCTGCGGAATCCCGTTTAGGGATTCTTCCGCGTCTCCGCACCTAGCAGCCTCCCGGTCTAGCCGGGGCTCCACGGCAGGGGTCTCCCGGGGTATCACGGGGACCCCGCAGACGTGCGCGGGTAGGCCCGCGCGTGGGGCTGAGTACGCGGCCTAGTGCCCCCCGTACCGCCCCCCGTCCGCTGCGGAGGGCTACTTGGGCGTGCCCGTGTAGCTCCCTCCGCTGCCCCCTTCTTTGCAGGACAGAACTACAAGGGGGGCCTGCCGTCACGGGGTCCGTCGGTGGCCGGCACGGCCAGCGCCATGCCGGTCAGCGAGGGACCCCCGGGTAGGGTCATGGGACGGGCGCAGCCAGGGCGCGCCGCCGTCCTCTCCTACCCGTCCTCCTTTGGTGGGAGGGATCGGCCAGAGGATCATCCTCCCGCTCCCTCTCAGCCGCCTCCTTCTGCGAGATAACGTTCTCGCAGAAGGAGGCGACCGCCTCCCACGCCCTGTCGCTGCGGAGCATGGCCTCCAATATGCTCCGCAGCGAGAGGGCTCCGCATCCCAGCGCCGCAATGAGCTCGCGTCGCCAAGCCGGGCACTCCAATAAGGTGTGCTCGGCCGTGTCGTCCGGGGCACCGCAATGATGACATTGCGGCGTTTCCTCCCGACGTGCGACACGGTGCAGATAGTGCATCCATGCCCGGTCAAGATCTGCACCATGCGGAACGTGAGGCCGCCGCGCCGGCGACCCACCCACTCCTCCAACACCGGACGAATAGCCTCAATCGTCCGGTGGCCGGCGCTCACTTGGGCGCCTCATCCCATCGCCGCAAGGCCTCTGCCTGCGCGATGGAACGGACCTGCCGCAGCTCTGCTGGGACAGGTCTTTCACCCCGCTCCCTGGCTTCATCCCGACCTCGATGCACGTCTGCCAGGACCTGCGCATCGAGATCCCACGGCGTCGCACCCGCGAGTACGCACGCGGGCCGTGGCTGACCGTGCGATACGCTCGCACGGCCCGGGTCGCGATGGTCCTCTGCGGTCGTCGCAACAAAGCCACCGTGCGGGGTTTGAGGCACTCAGCCCAAACCGGAGCTCCATAAAGTGCCATCGACCGTATCACCCCGTGATACAGTCGACGGCACGCATCTCCTGGTCCCCCCACGTTTGGGAGGAAGGTACGTACCTGTACCTGGTATAGCGTGCCGTGTGTAGACCGGATCTTCGCACTCTTATCCTACGGGTGCGGTGTCTGCCTAATGCTAAGCTAGTGTGCACGTTTGCTAGCTGTGTAGTGTTGTTGTTTGTGGCCTGTGTGGGAGGCATCGGAGGCGACTAAAAGATAGTGTTATTTGTATGTCATCTTCTGTAAGGTGGAGGACAGCGGAAAGTCCGCTTTGCTCTGCCTCCCCCCTTTATTTAACTTGCAGTGTATGTATTGTATGTAAGTATGTATATTGTTCGGGTGGAATGTTGCAACTTAATTTTGAAGCAGGTGTCTTCATCAAATCAAAAGAAATAAAAATTTCCTTTCTAACTTTTTATGTGAACTTATAACGTCATTACAAAATTTATATATTAAAAAAACTTGCCGCCCGTTTTTAAGTAGGTTCTGGTAGCTAGAATACGAAATTAAAAAAAAACAATCTGGTCTTTTTTTTTATCTACACACAAACAATTGTGTAATGGCGTTATATGTTCGTAGTAAAAATTTTTAAGGAAAATTTTATTTTATTATTTTTAGGGAATTCTAATAAGAGCTTGTTTTAAAAAAATGATTATTTTTATCACAATAACTGTACTAGCATCTTTGATTAAAAAAATTAGTTATTATACTTAAAGTCTGAATTAATGTTCAAATTTTAAATGTAATCTAAGTCTTTGTGTCCTGCGTTGTTTTGTACCATAAAGCTGTCGATACACACATAGCTTGCGCTTTGATGAAACTTCACATTAGGGCAATTTGATCACTAACTTTTATGAATAAAATCTAAATAAATAAATCCTAACTTGTCTTGATTCATATTGTTTTCGTAATTGTCTTGTATTGAATGGCGGTCCCCACTTGTCATCAGGCCGAAATAGTGACGTCCAACTCTGTAAAATATAAATGAAGTCATAATTCTTTCTTAGAGCCTGCTCTGCGTTAAGCAGGGATCTAAGAAAGACGGAGCTGGTGTAGGCTCTGTGTATAGTTTTTATTCTGTGTGTAGTCACGAGATATTAATCAATTTAGAAAATTAATATTCTTTGAATGTATTAGTTAATACACTACAAATAATAAAATATAAAATTACATACCTCTTTTTTCTTCCATATATAAACGTAAGACGAATGAACGACCCCTATAAGAATAGTCAACAAAAAGACTCCAGTGCTCAAATAGAAAAATTTAATTATGATGGTATATTCAATTTTGTATGCCACCTCTAAAAGGGCATCTATCATGGTAAACAATTTGATCTGAAAAAAAAAATACGCATGAAGTCTAATTAACTCTAAGAAGCTATTAAGGCGTTGAGCAGACGACGGGGCGGGGCGGGCATTTTGTCCGCGAAGCAATAAAGACCGCGTCTGCCCGTCGATGTCTGCGGCTGCCCGCCCCGCGTACACAAAGCACACGACGGGCAGAGGCGGTCAGTTTAGGACGTTCGTTCTGGTGAATAGTCCATCACTAATAAGCGCGTGGCGCGGACTGAGCTGACCGCCCCGCGCCGCTGTCTGCGTTACTGCATATAAACTGGTTTGTATGATGCACGGCGGGCAGCCGCGGACATGCCGCGCCACCAGTGCCCGCCGGGCACCTGCGGCGCGGTCTTTTTGCCCTCCGTGTGCGTTTGAAGTATAGGATTCACTTTGTGCTATTAATCGCGGCGAAATTGACTTGACCGGCCCGCCCCGCCCCGTCGTCTGCAAAGCGCCTTAAATATAATGCTTCATTGAGTGTATGTATGTATACATGTACTTTTTTTTCCTAAATGGCTTCGCACGGCTTGTGCATTTAGCCAATGTCAAGTGTTAAAATGTTTACAAATACTATAGCACTCGTGGTCAAAGTAATAAATCAAGTCAAAGTAAGTGGCAGTCAAGTCAATCCCCCTTTCCCTATGTTTCAGTTAAAGTGTGGGGAGTTACTGGAACCTCCCCGTGGACTTCTTGAGGGAACGTCGAAAGACACTTTCCACTATTTTGTTTCATTTGCCAACACTTGTGCACGTTCCCGAAAGTGGTTAATAATCCACCATTATTAGACACTAACATCCGCCACAACACAAATTTTAACAAGAATAACAAAACTGCTAAAGTGACGCTTCCCGATCCCGCTAAAAAGTTTACATGTACTTTACTGTTATCGCGATGAAAGTGACAAAGATCAAAATCAATCAAACTTTGAAGGTCACTTAGTACTTTGTCAGTCCTTCGGGGGGCGTGTTAAAGGCGCTGTCCCACGATCTCAATTGTCGCCGGCGAGGCCACCACGCCGCGCAGTGTTTCCGAGCGTATGAGAACTCTTACGGTCGAGATTTAGTAGTATCTATACATGATACGAGGACCTTTCGAGTAGGCGACTCCTTGAAATCCGGTGTATATGTCGCGGCCATATCGTAGATTTGCTCACTTCATGAAATGCTCGAGAATTTCATGAAGTGGTGGCATATTTTGACAGCCAGTAATAGTTCATGGATTTCTTTTGCGTAGTCACCCTACTCTCCATAATTTGTTTCATAAACTTAAAAAAGGAAAAATCATTACCTTTATTATGTCATAATAAACAAACCTAGAATAATATCAATTAAACAGAAACACAATACGTTAGCTGGCATAAAGTATTTTAATAAAATAAGTGAATAATGATGTAATTTAAGAGTAAAGAAATAACCTGTGAAACGCGATACAAAACCACAGTTTTTTACATTTTGCTCAGTTTTTGCTTGACTTGCATAGTACTCAAGACCCTTTTGTTATCACTTTCTTCCTGATTTAATAATGAATTATGCACTTTTTCTCTGCTAGAAACAACATTGTAGGCAGCGACCGGCATATACGTATATAAAGAAAGCGCTTGCAGCGCCTCTACCGGTAATTAATTTAACTACTTTACAATGTAATCGCGCGTTTAGTTGGCCATATCGTGAAACGATTTCTCATCATTGATCTGCCCAAACCACATCATGATGTGGCCAATAGATAATAAAACATTTCATTTCATGATATTCTCGAGCATTGCATGAAGTGAGCAAATCTATGATATAGCCACTACATATACACCACTCGACCACGGTGGTTTTCAAACCATAGTATAAACATAATAACCTGTATGTGTGTCAAATTTAATCAAAATCCAGTTCGCCATTTTTGCCTGATTGAGTAACAATTACACAATAAACAGCGTGTGAAATAAAAGTAAAAATAATATTTTTCATTATCATCTCCAAACCATTAATGTCTGGGACAAAAAGTCCTTCCCTATGGATGGACCCTTTTCCATTTTTCAGATGTAGCCATGACCTGACACACGGTCCCAGTGCGGATCGTTAGGTGCTAAAAAGCGGGTGCTGACCGGGCTGCTGTTCGGCGGCGGGGTGGTTTGACGTATGCCACGCTTGCGTGAGTGCACGTCAAAGTATACCCGCACCGACTAGCGGCCCTCGGGCGGCTCGCCGCTTGCCGAATGCACCACGCAATTACCTGCGTCGCGAGGGTTTGTTAACAGCAAACCAACGTGGCGTTGGTCATTGTCGTGGAGAGTCTTGGATATAATACATTATTTCGCCCCGTCATTGAAAAAAAAAAAAAAGGTGCTAACGACTGCAGATGCAGCCGGAACTGAAAGCTTAACTTGCCTTTCGAATCAAGGAGGAGCGCGAGATAATAAATTTCTGAACCCCCACCCGATTACCGACCATTACGAAAGTTGCTTAACTTCCACGATCGTAGTTTCAACGCGCTGATCACTTGCTACACCACCGAGCTCCTGCATTTTATGAATCTGATATCTAATGAACTATATTGACTGACCCCATAAAATATAGGGACAAATCTGAGATTGAGGGTCCTCATTTTGGTGGGCTTCACGCCTTCGAAGAAGGTGACGTCATCGATGAGCCGGCCCACTGGGTAGATGACGTAGATGCCAATGACCTCCATCATCGTGACAATGCCCTTCGACAGTATGTAAAATATTATCCTTTCCTGAAAATGAGGAAAGATTAAAAAAAACGAGTGTGCTTATGCCCACACGACTGAAGTGAAACATTTATATATATATATATATATATACATATATATACTAGTTGATCCAGCGAACTTCGTACCGCCATAAAAATAGGGTTTGATGGCAGAAGGGTGAAAATTTAGGATGGACCTATGTATTTTTAAATTAATGTCCCAAAAAATAAAAAAATAACGTTAGGGGTGGGCCATGACCCACCACGCGGGCCCAGTGCGGATTGGTAGGTGCTAACGACAGCATATGCAGCCGGGACTAATGGCCTAACCTGCCTTCGGAACCACGGAGGAGCTCGAGATGGTAAATTTTTAGTCACCCTTGCAAATGACCAACCACTACGAAAGTTGCTAACTATCGAGCTCCTCAGATAGAATCAGAATAAATTTACATAATTTAACAAAATGGCGTCTCTTTGACTTTTGACATAGAGCACTCGACATTTGTAGCTCCACTAGATTAGTATTACTAAACTATGAATTGCCTCTTTGCATCGCTAACGTCAATAAGTTTGTTGCACTTACTACTCGAACCCTTTTGAAATTACTATTAATTAGTGACTACTTTATTATGTAAAGAAAAGTTTACTAGAAAAAAAATCCACGCGGACCAGGCAGCGGACGGGACTCGAACCCGCTATCCGGGCGAATGCACTGACCATTATGCTACCACGGCCCTATTAGCCGCGTCGAAATTTTCCTAGCCTTAAGCTGCAAGGCAGCGCCATCTCTTCGCATTGTAGGTAACCCACATTTTTTTTTCTAGTAAACTTTTCTTTAGATTTAAAAATCTAGCAGTTAAATGCTTAAAAAATAAATAAAATCATAACTATAATTGCTATTTCTATTTTATTATGGTTAACTTACGTTCATGTCAGATAGAGCGAACCACACAAATCCTATAATCCATACAGTTATTGTAACGGCTACCCTTTTAGCTAAACGCCATTCGCATACTATGGCTTCCACGAGACATTGGTAGGTGACAATCTGAAATAATGTTCTGAGCTGGTATTTCATTTCGGAAGATTAATACAATAGCTAGGGAGCTGGCGATAATTTAGGTATATGATTTCATCGTTGTTGATAACAAGACGCAATGAAGTCTGCACCTATGTTAACTGAAAAATAAGTGGCGAGCTTAAGAAGCCTTGATATTTTCTATTTTTGAAATTGTAAAGAAAGAAATTATGTCAAAAATTATAGTATCGTTTATATCAATTCATATCTATTAAATACCTTTTTATTCATAGTGAATTTAAAACCACGCAAAAGCCAGGATGGTGGGAGTTATAAAAATAATGTCTTTTCAAAAATATTCTTATGTTTCATGGAGTATTTGTAAGAAAAAGGTGTCAGACATCTACAAATTTGATTTTAGATTGTATTTTTTGGAGAGTCTGTATTTTTCTCTTTCTGTCCGTGACCTTCATTCCCGGTTTTAAATCACTTATTATTTCTAGCTGCCTTTTCCATGCAAAAAAAGTAAAATATACACAAATCATATTAGTGCGAATGTATACGCCCACGTGTAATTGCGCCATAATACTAGGGTCACACTAACAACAGACGTTTATTCTACATAGACTTTTTGCAATTGGGGTATGACGTTAGGTTAGGTTAGGGGCCCACACTCCAGCGCCCCGAACGCCTACAGTGTAATAACTCGAGCTATGTTTCCAAGCACTAGCGCATTCCTCAGAGCTGCTTTCCGCACTCACTCAGTAACTAAAACGCCCATGATCGCGATAATTAATGACGTTTCCCGTTAGTTTGGCCTTATCATATGTAGCCATTTAAAAAAAATGTCACACAGGTCTTTCCAAAAAAGACTTTCTTGAATTGATCCCACTGCTAGCACAAACCTTCCCTATGGATGGAATAGGTAGATTTAATAATAATTGAATTAATAATAAATACTCACAACTGTATATAACTCCATGAGAAAATGTAAAATGAAAAATATGGTTGAATAAAATTCACCCAAGTAAAATGTCGAAAAATACATTGGCCAGAAGAAGAAGGACGAGTCTTGATCTGAAAATTGTAAAAGGAGCTTTTGATAGGATATTAAGACAAGTATTCTCAAATAGGTAAAGTTTTTTTTTGTCGACTGCCCAAGCTGTTGTTGATCCAAATCAAAACAATGTCGATGATATAGATTCTTGACCACGACAACGGCTAACTAGAGCCGAGGTACGAGTCTCAGAGACTAGTTGAGCCGACCCCCTCAGGTTTGAGTGGTCCAGAGGCTCCAAACCGAGAGGAGACTCCCCCCATGGGGAGATGCCATCCACCTGTAATACCTCTAGAGGCACTCGCCAATTCTCGGCTTGAGGTCCACTTAGGATCTCTCCGTCCCCAAACCCGGTGACGCTGTAAAGGTCATCTGCGACCAACAGCATACACACTCAAAAAAAAAAAAAAAAAAAATCTTTGCGTATCCGCAGTGTAAGGATGAAAATGTGGATTTCACAAAAAATGCTTTTACCTTTGCAATCATGGTCATACTTCTGTACTTTTCAGATGTTAATATAAAAAAAACTGCATTAAATTTAATGATGAAATGTCTATTGTTCATAATTCAAGTGCTGCTCAATCATCATCATCAACATGCGGAAATTGGTTGCTATCTCGAGGTTCGAATCCCGATGACAAACGTCCTATGACGAATACATTTGTATCTGAGACATCGCTGCCTTTTATATTTCTGCACTAAATATAATCTTTATATTTTTATCCGTCACCAGTCGTCACCAGTAGCAATTTTGGGTTTCTTTTTAAATTGTGTAAAATTATGTTTTTATTATTTAAGCATTTAACTGCTAGATGTTTAAATCTAAAGAAAAGTTTTACTAGAAATAAATCCACGCGGACCAGGCAGCGGACGGGACTCGAACCCGTTCTTTTTCTAGTAAAACTTTTCTTTAGATTTACTCATCTAGCAGTTAAATTCTTAAAAATAAAAACATAACTATATTTGCTATTTCTTCTTTCAAATATTTAATACTTGAAAAAGTATTCATTTGACATGTGGGTTACCTACAATGCGAAGAGATGGCGCTGCCTTGCAGCTTAAGGCTAGGAAAATTTCGACGCGGCCATCAGGGCCGTGGTAGCATAATTGGTCAGTGTATTCGTCTGGATTGCGAAGGGTCCGGGGTTCGAGTCCCGTCCGCTGCCTGGTCCGCGTGTTTTTTTTTTTGTGTAAAATTGTTATTCCATCCCTAGTGTTTAATTTGAGTCTATGCGAATTGTTGATTGAAAATATTTAGATGAATTTCAGTATATCAATATTTTTTAGGAGCACGGTGGCGAGGCTAAGGAGCTCGAAGGCGCAGGTGGCTAGCGCCTTTGGTTGCGTACGTTGAAGTTAAGCAACTTTCGCAATGGTCAGTCATTGGATGGGTGACCAAAAATCTTCTATCTATAGTGTCTCCGTGCTTCGGTAGGCACGTTAAGCCGTTGGTCCCAGCTGCATCTGCAGTCGTTAGCACCCTCCAATTAGCACTGGGCCCGCGTGGTTGGTCACGGCCCAATCACCCTATTGCATTCACAGGGAAGGCCTGTACCCCAGCAGCGGGGACATTAATAGGCTTTTGATAATGAATATTTTTAAAACTGCTAAGGTAGTAACCGATCATTCAGTAAGTATTTATAATTAATTAATCAAACTATAAATGTCGATTAAGCTATACAAACAAAACACAAAAATAATAGGAAAAGGTAAAAAATAAGTGTCGCCGCACACGGGCCACCGACCATAACCACAAAACGCCGCCACCGGCATATTTCTTGTAATTTTCATACGTTTTAAATGGACTCGCCACACACGCTACGCCGGTGGCCGCCACACGCTACAAATCGCCGTTGTTCGCTTCTTGTGGCCCGCACCGGATTCAAAACGCCGCCACACGTCACTCGCGCGATTCCCCACCCCTCTCTCCCTTACCTTAGTCGGCCGCTGTCGCGCGCTTCAGCCACTTTAGTAGCCGCTTCTAGCTTCTTGTGGCGGCGTTTGTGGCTGTGGCGTGTGGCCCGTGTGCGGCGACACGGCGGCGATAAGGGAATGTAAATACTCACTGAAATCAGTGATCAAAATAGGTGAATTTATTAAGGACTCGCAGAATTTCTTCAGCCTATACGAAAGTAGACCTCTCAAGATATAAAAGATAGCATTAGATAATATTATCAAGGTGCTGTCTCGGGTAGGTTGTATCTATGAAAAAAAGACATGTTAGTGATGGATACACCATATCGATGTATTAAAAATGATTTACAGGGCGTCCCACGGGTATGTCACACGGAGGGAAAGTATTTATTATTACATATTGAATATTGAAGATAGGATATTTCACTGAAAGAAGACATCATTTTATTTTTAGTAATAACTAGAACTGCATTCACAATTTTTTTACAAATCGCCTGCTACTACTGGGAATCAAACTCGTGAAATTTTAAAAAAAAGCACGTCTTATTTTATGACAACCATCGAAAGGATCAAGGAATCATAAGGGTTATTATTTCCTAAATAACATAGCAAGAAGACATCATTTCTTACAGTAAAATATCCTATTGTCACAAACGATCTCGAAACGTAACCGCGAAAGTGCCAGAGATCGAATTTGCCAGATCACCGCGGGTCGCGATAGAGGTCGAGTAATGCGGCTCATTCTAAAATGAGCCTTATGCAGTGCGGCGTAAGGGAGAAAGTGCAACGACATCTGCACTTGTTTACAAGTTGTGCGTGTTACCCGCGTAGGTATGAGTAGGTACTTTGTACTCGGGGGTGTTAGCTAATTCTTAATTTAACAGGTAATTTCTAGAATGCGTCGATCGGCGTATATAAGCGCGATTGGCGCCGCGCACAGACAGTTGAGTTTCAACAGCGATTTCGGAGCGAATCCAAAGGCTTGATCACCTTTGGATGTGAGTACAACAAAAGTGTTCTAGTGAGATTGTTTAGAGACTTGTATAGTGAAATACAGTGTTTAGTGAGTGTTTAGTAATTAACATTGTGTGTAAATGTCATGTCAAGCGTGAACTGGCATATAAATTCGAACCCCATCCCGACACGTACCACTACCTTCAATATTTAATATAATTTTCCTCCGTGTGACAAACACGTCGGACGCCCTGTATCATAGCGGAAAATCAAAAAAAAAACGGATAAGCTTGAGTTACAAATTTGTAGGTACGCAACACAAACGCCCGTATCTTTTTTGAGGTATGAAGGACAGCATATTCAAGCAAATAGTTTAAATTCAAACTAAATACTCCCCCCCCCCCCTGTGTGCCCGAGATAAAGAGTTTTGACAGACAGACGGTTTAACGGCCTTAACTTTTCTATAATGTTATAAGGATTTCTTTGCGGTTAAAAGCTTCTCAGGCAACTCAAAATTCACGTGTATACCTATGTATCAGTATTAGGTATATTCTATCCGTCACCTAGTATCCCATAACACAAGCCTTACAGTGCCTACTTTGGGGCTTGCCTAAAAGGGTATACAACCGTTTTTGAAGTTAGCATTGCAAATAAATGCGTAACCTTTGTGACGGAAACATTAAAATACTGAGATGGCTGGTGACACTTTGACATATGCTAGCGGTGTGACGTAATAATGTGACGGCTACTACGTCTACTAATTTTTGAAAATGACATGAAAGTTTTTTTCTTTTGTTAAGATGGCCAATAAAAGATTTCATTTCATTTCATTAAAAATAGATTAAATAATCTGAAAACTCTGAATTGTATTTTAAAATGAATTTTGTTATTTTGGTGTCGAATCTGGCATGATTCTCTAAACCTAAACTAAAATTTGACAACAATGTATCTCTGTTATTCCCTATACAGAATGAACAGGAGAGACTGATGTTAAATTCAGTTTTAAGTTAAGAGAAAAATGCCAGAATCGACACCTTTATTAATCTAAACTATTGCAATAATATATTTATACCTAGTCCAGCCATAAGTTCTGTTACAAATGTAAATTATTTTTTTTATAAATGAAGTGATGTAATATTATTAAAATGTATATCTAAATATTTATTTAAGTCTCAGCATAAAATGAAAAAAAAAAAACTATTCGAAATGGCCACCTTTGGCTTTCATACAGGCCTGAAATCTGTTTAGCTACTAATCTATGGATTTACGCACTGTTTCCAAGGGACGCCACTGCTTACTCCAAAGATTTTTTAAGATATGTATGATTAATAAATATGTGGAAAATTCAGCGCCATATTGTGACAAAGTAAAAAAAAAAGTTGACGAATTATGTCGAGTTAGGTATCATTGTCTAGATAATCAAAAAATCTAAGATTCCCTAACAGTCGGGACCCATTATTAAAAAAATTCATTCATACTTGTATATTTAATGGATCCCGACTGTTAAAGAAGCTTTGATACTTCGTCAACTTTTTTTTACTTTGCCTCGATATGGAAAATACCTTTTTTTTACTTTGTTACAAAACCACTGGACTAGTTCTTTTCTTTTCAATTTTCATTTGAATTGATATATGCGGTCTGGTTTTTATTTTGATTTTTGTTTTGTTTACCCGACACCGTCTTCTAGCCCGTATTCCAGTATAAATATTGCTTCGGGTGCCTGAATTCGAGTATTATTTTTCTTGCTAATGGCTAATGACCAAGTGTACATAAATGAGCGATTACAGTGCCTACATTGGGGCTACGCTAGTTGGTGTGAATGTTAGAAATATTTATTTATCCATACCTCTTGAGAACTTCTCGCGGTCAATATATGAACTGCAGGCGGTGCAGTCATAGACTCAGCTAACATATCGACATCAGCTTTCTATATAAAATAATAATTAAATTATTATATTAGTACTTAGTTTATTTGTCTATAAGTAATATGTATTTAACAATACTATTCATTAATTCATTGATCAACGCTAATGACAATGATGACAGAATGATGAAATTCATTAATTCAGGATAAAACCACTCGAACAAAATAAAACAAAAATCCCATGAAGTATAAGTTTCAATTCAAATCACTTACCCAAAGTATGTTTTGTATTTCGTCATGTACAACGTCGGTTACTTTATGGCCGAAATGTGTAAATAGGTAAACCGAATACAAGTGTACGAATACCATTATATAAATAATGATTATAAACATTTGTAATCCGTTCAAAGTCTGAAAGGAAGCAAAAAATAAAAACAAAATAAATTTCATTTCTCAAATTACGCATTTATTTTTGTGAATAAAGGGGAACTTAAAAATAAAAATCTTTTATTTGGATACATAAATAAGTCAAAACAATTACCGTGGACAAAATAAAATTTAACGCCCCCGGGTGGGCTCGAACCACCAACCTTTCGATTAACAGCCAAATGCGCATGCTGATTAGGCCACGGAGGCTGTTATCATAAAATCATATTTTAAATAGGCCATCATTAAGGCCACGTTATTTTATCAATAGTAAAATTTTACCATAGTTAAATCCTATAGAAAAAATAACCACTAACCATTTGTCAAAATTAACATTACATTAACTATACTCAAATTTTACTGTCGATGAATAGTTCATCCATAAATATATTTGAGTACAATTAATTAATAATAAAACGAACTTACCTGTAGGTGAAGTTCTATTTTAAATATGCGAACTGCTCATTTCGAAGCGATTCCATAATAATAAATAATTAATTACCTATCTAATTATATTTTAAAACAATTGATCATGGAGCTCTAGAAATGTTATATTATAGTAGTTTGATTGTATAATGAAATTCAGATAATTACAATTATAAACTAATCAAACATTTTAAGCCTTGATGACCCCTTTTGTTTGTGGAATAAACTATATCATTTGTATACCCTCTCAATTATTAAATTAGATTCCAAAATTGCATCCAACACATGAAGTAAAAACAATAATTGAAATCTAAATAAATAGGTATTATAAATAAAAATAAATAAATCCAAATAATTGAAATAATTCTATTTACATTTATAAAGTTAAGTTTATCTATTAACCACTGATGATGGAGCTTTGACAGACGACATCAATTGTTTGTTTTTTCATATTTCATAGAATTAATCACCAATTCTGATTTCAGTTCTTTAAATATCTGCATGTAAATTAATCGCGAGATTTAAGCAGCGAAGCAGAATTAATATTAAAGTGAATTTACCTGTAATAAGTGAACCTGTACGTGAAGTTTTATTTTATTAATTATGTGAGCTCATTTGAAGCGATTAATGGCTATTACTCACATTTTTCAATTTACCTTCCCCCTGATAGCCGGCAATATGAAATCAGTTTTCCATTTTGTAACTAATTTAACTAGATACTGTTACAGGCATTTACAGGGTTCTTTAAACATAATAAAATTCAAGTTTGCGCTCACTGAGAAGGTAAAGAAGCTGTCAAAAAGCTTTTTAAATTCTCACTTTGGACAATCGTGGTTGGCTGTGGATATACAGACAATACTATATGTAAATTAGTCGCGTGAATTGGGCAGCGAAGCATAATGTCACATACATAATAAATGTGTAAAATTTTAACAAATGGTTAGATTTACTATAGGATTTAACTATAAATGAAATTAACGCGGCCTAAGTCGAGGAACTCGATGGCGTAAGTGAAAAGCGCGTTCGGTCTGCGATCATGAAAATTAAACTTTCACAATGGCTGGTCCAAATGGGTGATCATAATTTTAATCATGATCACCCATTTGGACTAGAATCTTTAGCAGATGCGTGCTTCGAAAGTACGTAATGCCGTTGAACCTAGCTGCATCTGCAGTCGTTAGCACTCACTAATCCATAATGGATCTGCGTGATAGATCGTGGCCAATCTTCTTATTCCATCCGTAGGGAAAGCCTGTGTCCCAGCAATGGGTACATTTATAGGATGATGATGATGAAAGACCACTGAATAAATCACTATAACTGTTTTGGGACTGACACACTCGTGATTTCCTGGTAAAGCAGGGGAACATGGGGCTGTTATAGAAATAAATTAAGTTACCGTTTATATAACATTCTTTACCTTCCAAATGTATCGTTTGAACAGTTGGTTGTGGTGCAACGCAACGATCGTCCATATGATTAGGAAATAAATTGTGCTCAAGTATCCGTAGGGAATGGTTTTTAACAAAGCTGATATACGGCTCCTAAATGATAAAGATATTTTTAGCTAAGTGCTTTATTTCTTAATGCTATTTTTGTGTGTGAACAATTTTCTTAACGGATTTCTAAGTATTTCATAATCTATCAAGCAATATTCTGATTTTTATTATTGCATATTTGCGATGAGCATTGGGTCCAACTCGTTAGCTGTTAACTATTTCCAAAAAACAACATTATTCGTTAATTTTTCACTTGCCTGCATAGCTAAAAAAACCAAAATTAATGGTCGTCTTACCCATAATAGAGCACCGGCGCCATTTGGAAATATTCACCATCTGATGCTATATAAACAGTATCAGTAACAGCTGTATCATTGTTGAACTTTTTAATAAACTCTTCGATATTATAGCAGTGAATGGTAATATTTAAGCTAGATTGATAACTTTTTACAGGGCACCTGTAAAATATTACATTCAAAAATAACAAAGTTGAAAAATATGAGCTACATAGTAAACTATAGAATGGAAACAAGTATTAATTTATCTAATAACCTTGTGAGGCACGCTCCGGAAAGAGAAGGAAAATCCTAAGATCAGTTCTGCAGAGGTGTTATCAGATAAATGACTATACAATACATATTGGTAGCCTGGAGAGATTACATTAAACATTTGTAGGAAAAATAAGCTTCTTGGGGTGTTGAGATGGCAGGAATTCTGCTACATTAAAATAAGGCAGTTATTGCCGAGTTGTGGAAAATAACAAAACGTAAAGGAGAAGACTTTAAGGAGGATGGGCTATAGGCTAGCTGGATTGTTTTGGGACTCCACGCAGACCCAATACAACCAGGACCAAACATGCCTTCTGAAGACGAAGAAGAAGAAGACTTCTACGGAAGAGCTTAAGATTTTTTTTGGTATTTTATTTCGAACTCTGGCGCACTAACCACTGTGCAACTATCAAGATCCTCATATAACACTAGCTGACCCAGCGAACTTCGTACCGCCCTAAAAAAATAGGGGTTGTCCAGCGGACAAAATTGTGAATCTAAACCATTCTCAGATCCCCTTTCATACACACAAAAAATTTCATCAAAATCGGTCCAGTCGTTTAAGAGAAGTTCAGTGACATACACACTCACAGAAGAATTATATATATAAAGATTAGTACAAAATGAATAATTTATTAAGACAAAATGAATAATTGATGTAATAGAGTTTGATGTAGCAAATTTTCTTTACCTATTCCACGGAGTCTTGTACAGCAAGCCGCGTATGGAGTAATCTAGCAATCGAATGACTGTGTCAATGTATGCAGTCATATCCAGAATTGCAGCTATTATATATGCTAGACTAAAACCTAAAATATAAATTGCCATTTTATATTACTAAACAAAGCTGAACAACGGCATTAGTAATTATGCAGGTCTAAAAACTGGCAATATTAAAAAAGTTATAGCAGTCCAATAATAAGAAGATAAATACATTTCAATTATCATGAATAAACTTTTGTTAAACATAAATAACAATCACTTGGGAAATTCAAAGAACTTTCCTAAATGTAAAATAGTATTCATAATAATAACGTTTGGAAAATCTGGATTTTAAGTAATCATTTCTTACCGCTGCAAATGGGTAACATTTTGGTTAGAAAGAAGTGTTCATCGGGAGCATAAGATGCCAGAAATATGTACACAAAGGTATGCGGTAAGCTCTTGAAAAACACATTGAAAATGTAATACCAAAGGAATCTGAAAAAAATAACAAATCACTTTACATTTACTTCACTTATAGTCGTTTAAATTGATATAATGAAAATAACACTCCTATATCTGAAGAATGGAAAATTATAGAGATTGTAAATGTCCGGCAATGCAGCCAATAGATGACGGACGAACAGATCAATGGATAGACGGATGTCGAGAAGCTAAGCAAATTTTGCAATGGGAGTCAGAGGATATGTGGCCAAAACCTTATCATCTCGAGTTACTCCGGGGTGAACGTTTTAGATCCGTATTATAGGAAGAATTTCAGTGATTGATCTAGTCTTGAGCATAGTTAGAAAGGAATGTCGCTATATATAGCACATAGCGACATCCCTTTCTAACTGTACTCAAGTAAAGATCAACACTTAGTTGTCATTCTGTAATACGGGCCTTAGTGTCGGCTATCTACAATCGTTAGCGACAATACATACTGGTCCGTCTGGTGGCTCATCACCTATTCTCCTTAAACAATCCACAGGAAAGACCTGTACTCATTACTAAGCTAATGTTAGTAACATACACTTTATTCCTGAATATTCTCGCATGCCGGTCGATTTTTGGAGTTGTTGTCCAGATTTCCAAATGTTCGTTATTTCAACTCGCATCTGTAACTTCAGATCGATTCTCACCTATTAAACCGCACGTGTTGCATACACACAATCTGTGTTTTACTGGGCGTGGAAACGAATGACCGAAAATACGATAGTCTCTCAAGTCTAGTACTGGGTATGATTGTTCTCTTAGAACGAGTGTCATCGCCCTGAAAATAAATACTTATTTCTTTAAATATGAGAAACAGAAACGAACAATATACTACGTAATCACTAACAGTAGAAAACTTTTACCTTTAAACAAGTAGCAGATTAGAATAGAACCTAGACAGCAATGACCTTTTACATATCATATAGGTCATAGCTAGACAAAGTCAATTTGAGTCGAATATCAAATGTGTCCCTTTTCATTAAATTCAGAAACGTTCTTTAAGAATTGTAAATAATCTATATCCCAAAGGCCAAGTATGAAGCTTCGAATATTAGGAGAAAATTCGCTTCTCATAGAGACACAAAGTGGCAAAATATTCCGGGAACTATACCTTAGGTAATGGAATAAGGACAGACTAATTAAAGGTCTGGTAGTCTTATTTGAAGTTCTTTGAAAAACCAATCAACTATAACATCTGATTTATCGTAAATATTGTAGTACCTCTGGTATATAACTGAGGAGGCAATCTTTTGGTAGAATGTTCTTGAAAGTTTGACTGACTGTCGACGCTTTGCTCGGTATGTCTGACCATTGTTTCGTTTCAGCCTCGGATGCTATCTCTTCAGAATATTCCAATTTTTCATCCATTTTGATGATCAAAAAAGTAGGTTACCTACCTAGTTCTTATAAATGTCTGTTGAGATCTTGCGTAAATATTTTTGGGAATATTTTATTAATTTCTCTCAGGCTTTTCCTTTGATTCGAGCCTTTGGTAGCGAAATCCTTTGCGAATTTGTGAGCCAAGGACGAAAAAGAGTCATTCAGTGTCATATAGTGACATAATGATGTTAGGTTTAACGTAGGTTTACATAAAGCCATAGATCACTTTATAAAGAAGAATAAACATAGGAAAATAGTTTTCCTCTATGATTTTCTAAGGTACATGGACTTCGTATATTATATAATAAGTCCAAAGTCTAAGGTAATCTATTTTAAATCATATGTAGATAATATATCTTTGATTTAAATCGACAAAAAAAGCAATTGTTGATGTTACTATCATGAAAATTATATCTTATTTTACATGGGTTCAAAGTTATTCCTAAAATGAGTGATTGTCTATGTGTGATAAAAAAATACATTATTTTTTATAATCATAAAGATGAAAAGTTGAGATTTGGATTAAATTTTCAATAGGTCTACCATATATCGCAGAACTTTTAATGTCATTATATTATTACGCATATCAGCGGATGCCATTAACTTCACATCGCATAAAATCAGTTGGCATTTACACATGAAACATATATTTAAACTAGTAATTTTGTAAATTTAATATCCACAATAATTAAAAAGCGAGTCGTCTTTTAGTATATTTTTTCTTTTTTATTAATCTTTTATATCAAATGGCTGGCACTTCGCTAGCTCGGCTTCCGCTAAATTCTGGTTACAAAACTACTACTTACCTGACGTAAACCACTTCCATAAATGGTATGGTTAACGAAATAATGCAGAACCAAGTCCTCGTATTTGATATTCTGGTTTTCGCAAGTTTAGGAGTCAAAAAACCCTCTAACATCGCAACATAGCGGTCAGTGTCAACGGTGACATTTCGTCCTCGTGAATCTTCAAATACTCGGCCAATAATAATAAATATGTCCAACACTCACACCAATTAGCCTAGCCCCAAAGTAAGCACTGTAAGGCTTGTGTTATGGGATGCTGGAGTAACGGATAGAATACATATACTGTACATATATATTTATATAGAAATACATATTAAACATCCATGACTGGAGTACAAATGGTCGTATTCATCACACAAACATCTGCCCCCACCATGAAACCCGGCGTACAAACCACTCGACCACGGAGGTCGTCATTATTTCCTTTGCTTGAAATTGCTGGCCATACTGTTACTTTCAGACTATGCGGTGGTTTTTGATGTTTCAGTTTTGGATTCTCATCGCTCCAATAACGAAAATTGTGTCGGTTTTCGAACCCATTCAATTCACTTTACCCACCATTCGCCCAAAAAAGATGACGCAATATGCACGTTCTCCATTCTGTAGTTAGTTACAAGTCGACCTAATAAAATCATTTTAAAAGAGGGATTTTTTCCTGCATATCCTGTCTAATACCCGGACTGTGTGGAATTAAAAGTAACAAAATATCTTTAGATTTATAAATCAACCAATTAAAAGATTAAATAAAAAAATACAACAAATTGAAACTTTGTACGGTGAAATATTATCAAATATGCATATTTTTTATTCATAGTATTTAGTTAATTGCAAGTAATACATACAAGTGATTGTCTAAACCTGAGGATTGAGGCGCTCTTTATGCTGAAACTAGCGGCTGCCCTCGCATCGCTTCGGTGTAGAGCTGAAATGTAGACTACAGTTTTTGTTCTCAGGCTTGTATTATACACAATGACATTCTATGATTCTTCTTATACCTGCATGCAAAGTCTCAGCCCGATCGGTTTAAAATTGACAAAGTTTCATACAAACTTTCATTCCCTATTTTATCCCCTTGGGGGAAGAAATGATGAAAATCCTTTCTTAGCGGATGCCTACGTCATAACATCTACCTGCATGCCAACTTTCAGCCCGATCCGTCCAGTGGTTTGGGCTGTGCGTTGATAGATCACTATGTCAGTCAGTCACCTTTGACTTTTATATATATAGTTAACGTTACTTAAATATGCTGGTCTAAATAAAGATTATTATTAAAGTACAGTATAGGCTCTACCTAAAATTGTGGGAGAAGCATTAGCGCGAAACCAAATACTATAATAAATAACACTTCCGGAATTCAAATTAAAAATATTATGAGTGTCTAATAAATCTTCTTTCTACCTTATTTAGGTATTAAAAATAATATTATGATTTATGCAAAGGAATCCTCCGTCATGAAAAAAACATTTTATGAGCGATTAGTTAAATTGTTAAGCCATCAACGGCGTAAACCGCTAACGATGTGATAAAATATGCATACCCCTCGATAACTCGTAAAAAGATTGATTGAAAATTATTAGAATTTTAAATGTATTCCACTTTGGGTTCGGAGTTTGATATAAAATTAATATCCTATCCATAAACGGTTTGATAATGGAGCCGTTTCAGTTTAATGCAAATTTGTGTTATGATCCATGACAAGCGAAGCCATCAAAAATTATTATTATAATGACCTGAGAAAATTTCAAGTCTAATTTTAAGAATAAACATCGAGCGATATTTATTATCTCCTTTACATAAGTGGCATTAACAAATGATTATAATGCAACCTTTTTTTATAAATAGGTTCGACAAATGACTCCAACCTAACATCAGGTGGATATTAAGTGACGGTGAAGTCCAAACACGAAGATAGCTGATGCAGCAGTTCTACCTGCCACACCAGACCTTCTCACCCTGCCGGCCTGCATGTTGCTTCACGACTCTTATAAAGGATCCCAGGTTGTAAGAGGGCGGGAATACGTGAGCGGACAGAGCATTCCATTTAAGGATAGTGCGACAAAGAAATGAGTCACCAAACTTCTTGTACGAGTTGGAATAGTGACCACAGTTAGTCGGTGGCAACGTAGCCCAGCGTGCGTGGTCCTCTGAGGGAATGGGAGAGGATTACTCCTCAGATTACTCACCGTGGTATAGACGAGGACGCGCTTAATGACGTCTCGTCACGGCGTCATTAAAGAGGCTCGCGGTGTTTAGTCACCTCTATCCAAAGCATCGAGCAAGTACTTGGCGGAGTCATCCCTGAGGTGCGAGCAATATTCCACGCAAGACCGCAACTGCGTCTTATACAACAAGCACAGTTGCTCAGAAGTGAAAAAACGCCGCACCTTGTTCAGGATCAGATAGGATCAACATTGTGTTATTCTCATATGTGGGTGTTCTTAGAAAGTGACTGCGTGTGGTCTGCTCCCACTGGGACTCGAACCCGGGACCTCTCGAGTCAGCGACATCATGAAACTCGGCGTACAAACCACTCGACCATGGAGGTCGTCATAAAAAGTATCCTTTGTCTAATTCCATACCTTAAACTATAATAAACCCAAAGTTTTATCCAACTCCATTCAGTAATTTTTGCATGTTCGAGTAACAAACACACAATCACAAAACTTTCACATTTATGAAAGGTACTAGCGAGCCAGATTTGGAAATAAAAAAAAATGCTAGGAAAAGTTCCGCTCGATTAAGTTATAAGACGGGATTCGAACCTGTACCTTCAGCTATCCTGGCGGAATTAGTATAGTACTCAATTAGAGCTGTAGTTAAAATTTAAAGATACAAAAATCTATCGCCGCACTTAAAGATTTCAATTAAATTACAAAATATGCCATGTTATTTAAAAAAAAAAAACACAACATTAACCTTTCCTTTAGAATTATTGTCACTTAAGTGTAGAAATTCTAGTAGTTATACTAAAGAACATTTTTTTTAAACTAGACTAGAATTAACCTAATGCTAAAACTTTAGGTTAATTCTAGTCTGTTAAGTAAGCTTGTTAACCTGACGATTTCTACCCGGGCCTAGGCACGGTTTTAAAACGTGTCTATGTCCGGTCATCAGTTCGGCATAGGGTACTATGGAGGTTTGTTAACGACACCGACGCGATGGTTTGTGGTTGGTAGAAACCTACAGGTCGGTCGCGGCATGTAACTCTAGCGCTGAACAAAACGCGGAGGGGATAGCTGAGAGCCAATCGGCGCAACGCACGCCTACCCGCGCACCTCGTTTCCCCCTAAGACATCTTAATTTTTACTTCTGCGTAATAACGGTCAATGCTAGAATTTCGTGCCGCGACTTATAGAAACTGTGCTCGTAAAGAAGCTGAGCCGGCAATGGCCCGGTTAGAATTCCTCTCATTAACAAGCACCCTAAGAATAACATCCGTAAGTGTCACATAGAAAATAGAACCTAAATAACTACCTAGCTGTACTCCATGGACATTCGCAGAACAGTCTTTCACGGAGCTTGATAAAATATTAACAGCTTCTGAATGATCCCTATGGGAAAGACAAACCAATGGAACTCGAAAATATGAATTATTTCTAGCAGTACTCGATTGCCATTAGGTATCCATTTTGCATTACGCTTCACAAGTCTCTCTACTTCGATAAACATAAAGGTTTAATAAAAACTAATAATAATAATAAACTGTTTTAATGCCTCCAATCTATGATCAAATACAATTATTAAAGCATACTACATATAGAAAGAAACAATTACAATTATGTATGTTATAAAAAACATTTAGTGTGTGCCTCGAACGCTATAGTCACTCGCAAGGCTACACGGCTTTGCTTGATTGTTATATTTGCACATCAAACTATGTCACTTACGGATTTAACTAAATATTGCGATTGTCACTAATTGATATAAAAATTTACTGTCACTAATTGATGTCAATGATTGAGTTATGAATTACACTAACTGATATGAATTGTCACTGATTGACGTTTTTTTTATGTTTTTTTTTTTATTACTATGTCACTTTATTCGTCACTTAATAATTATATTGTCACTAATGTATGTCACTGCAGAATGTCATAGATACTACTTGCAAATAATTGTCACTGGACGCCCGGTCACTAATACAATATGTCACTTAATATAATCGCAATGCACTGTCAATCCTGTCACTGGTAATACTTTCCTAAACCACGTACACGTATTTTCGCGAAACCGAAAATCTAGAAAAGTTCGCTCGAAGGACCAAACTGTAGGGGCCGTTACTAGGACCCTAACGACTGTCAATTTGTCAATTAGTCACGGGACGATTGTCAGGAGAGAATTATTAAAATACGTCAAT